TATATATACTGCTCTTGATATAGTTAAAATTGTAATCTCTTCCTTACATTTTTTTTTTTTTGGGATTTGTGGGTACTGTATACTATTTGTTTCATATTTCGATAAGCCATTCATTTAATATAGTAATCGCATTTGCATTTTGTTTTATATAGGTGTAAATGTGGCAACTGTACACATATGCAATCTTATGAAGAACGTCTGCGTTGCAAAGAAATTGTTGCAATTAATGAAACATTTGAAAGAGATGAGGCGGCGACAGGTGCCCTCGGTTGTATTACGGACCATCCAGGATTAGAGCCCATTTGTCTAAATGTTTGGACATTGCAAGTTGCAAGCAGTAAGGGAAAGAAAATGAATTTATTCAAACTCTTAATACCATACATATGTTCGTTATTTCCATTCAGATATTAAAAAATAACTACATTCAAACAATTTTAATTTCAAAGCCAATAGACAAAGTTTGACTGTCATAATTGTTACTTTTTTATTTTTTTTATAGCACAAGACAGTACCATATCAGATAGTCAACCTGGGATTCATACACAATTCCGAGCCACTAGATGTGTGAAATATACTTTATTTTATTTTATTTTAATTCACATTCGACAGCGGGGAGTCCGCCACTTACAGAATGGAATACATAAAACACAATAAACACCGTACGGAAAACATCATGAACACTTATACAAGACATTTCTTAATTTTATACTTAAAAATATTCAAACTATTAAAAAAACATATCAATTGTCGGATCTAACAGAATAAGTGAGTTAAAAATTTTAGATAATCTACAAATAAATCCGTTTTTAAAAATATTGGTTCGGGAAAATGGAATATGGAATAAGTTGACCGAGGCTTGATGAGAATGTTTACTTTTAACAGAAAAACCATATAAAGAAAGAAGGTGAGGACCAAATAATCCCTTCATGCATTTAAAAAGAAATATACAGTCCAAGTAACTCCTACGTTGACTTAAGCTGGGTAAGTTAATAGTATTACGATTGACATTACACGATTTACAAACAAATTTCAAAAATGTCTGTTGCACAATTTCTAATTTTTGAGCTTGACTTTTACATAATCCATTAAACATAATTGTACAATTTTCTAATTGAGGCCTAACCAAAGACGTATAAAGACAAATCAACGTTTTAGGATTCCTTAATTTCCAGCAATTCCGTTTAACGAGGCCCAACATTCTATTACCATTACTACTAATGTATTTGATATGGCGATTAAAATTCAATTATTATCAAGAACAACACCCAGATCTTTGTGAAATTCAACATTATCGAGTGCATGGTTGTTTATACTCTATGGGAATATAATATTAGTTTTTTTAATGCTAATGTTTAAAATTTTACATTTTTTTTTTTTACTAATAACCATACCCCAAGTTTCACACCACTTACAGAAAGCATCAAGATCTTTCTGTAACTGATGGGAATCTTCAAGAGTGTTGATTTGTCGAATGAGCTTCAAGTCATCGGCATATATTAAGCATTGTGAGCTTAGATTTAACAGGAGATCATTTATGAATAGGTTAAAAAGTAGAGGGCCTAAGATGGTTCCTTGTGGAACTAGAGATTTAACGGGGAGCCAGGTGGAAAAAGCTCCTTCCAAAGTTACCCGTTGCTCACACTCACTAAGATAACTGACAAGGAGTTTATAACAAATTACCAGATATACCAAATATTGTAAGTTTGTAAATAAGTAATTCGTGATTGACCTTATCGAACGCTTTAGCAAAATCGGTATATATTACGTCACACTGGGAGCGGCATTCAATGGCTTTATATGCTGTACTTAAAAGAGTTGTGATATTCGTAGAACAGGAACGGTGGGGGTAAAACCGTGTTGGGCCCTAGAAAGAACAGGTGAAACGTGGTTTGAAATGGAATTATGAATTAGACGTTCAAATATTTTTGATATGGTCGGTAAAAGTGAAATGGGACGATAATTTGAAACTTTATTTTTTCTACCCCCCTTATAAACAGGACATACATTAGCCTTTTTCCAACATAGTGGGAAAGAACCTTCATGTAGTGCCTGGTTAAAAATATTATAGAGTGGTTGTGAAAGGGGAAGGAGGCAGCTTTAAGGACACTGTTATTAATTTCATTAATGCCAGAGGATTTCTTAGTATCAATATTGCGTAATAATATTTCAATTTCTTTAATGTCAATGTTAAAATATGTTAAGTTGTCGATAGGGTAATCAGGAAAATCGGGATATGTGTGAACGTGTTCGTTATTAAAAACAGAACTGAAATATTGATTAAAAAGATTGGCCTTATCTATAGGTAAAATAACTTTTTTTGTCATTATTGTTGATCATAGGAGCTTTGACCTTATTGCGGTAGGCAGTTTTAATCCACCCCCAAAATCTTTTGGGATTAGAAGACATATCATAGTTTTTTTACATATTCATAGTATTTACTTTTCATACATTTCATTTATATGCAAGATTTTAGTTATTATTATTGTTGAGAAAAAAAGACTTAAATTATTATTTTTTTTAATATTTTCTAGAAAATACAGACATGCAAGTTATAAAAATTTCATGAGATGGACACATGGATATATGGGTAGAGCCAACCATGCCATACTGGCAGCCTGCACCATTAAAAAAATTTAACAAGCTTTCCAATCGGAATCTTATGTTGATTTAAATATCCAAATATATGTTAAATACAGACACAATATACAAAATAGGCCTTAAAAAGTAATTAAAAAAAAGTGTAGAAAATAAGCTAAGCCTAATAATGTTGTATAACTTATAAGTAGTCCGTTAAATTATGAAAAAATAAGAATAACTTTAGAAGGAAGAATAGGAAAGAAACTCAGAGTGATTGAAATATTTAACGAAACTAAATAATAATCATTTTGTCATTATTTCTTCATGTTTTTGTAACCATTTTTAGGCACTTATCATCACTTTTAATCTTAGTCATGTTGGGTTCAAATATCCCATTGTTTAAAAATACACTACATATTGCATAAGAGCATGGTGTTAATAAATTGTTCACTATTGTATATGAAACCTGTTTTTGTGTTGTTTGAGTGTGTCTGCCTTGTTGGGGTGGTCAAAACTGCCGCATAACAGTGGTGGTACTGGCATGTCTGCTGGCTTCGTACCGAATTAATCTGTTCCAGAACAGTATCAAAAAGCCGGTCAACATAGGCTGAAAAAATAGGATTCAAAAACAGGTCAGCAACAGTTAAAATATACACCGCATTTAACTACCAAATGTTAAATTTCATACATTACTACTGTACTTACTGTATGTTGGCGCTACCAATATTGGCCTCAACTGATTCGCATTTCTTGAATTTCGGAAACTTGCCTCTCACATCAGCAGTTTCTGCCTGGTCTCATAAACCATTTTTATTATAGTGGAGAGCAGCGATATAAATAATCATTCTAATTTTGTTTTAGGATAGTGTATTTTGGTGTGTACCAAAATAATGAAACCCAATTATAACAACAACATATGACATGTATTCAATCAAACCAGCCTCAGACAAATCTAAAGTGCAATTAACATATTTGTGCAGTATGATGTTTATTTTAATGAAACAATAGAAGATATTAAGCATTACAAGCATAGGGAAAAAGAAGTGGCATCACAATACTTAGTTTTTGGCTGGTCTCTTGTTTCTATAAATTGATGGGTTTTTGTACATGTACAAAAGTGGAGTGACTTGTTCTGACTAAAATAAAAACTTACCGGCATAGTTGCAAATTGAAACAATAGTTGTGTAATTTTGGGGCAATCTGATTGAGGAGTGAATGAAACGCCTCTAATTTTGATGTTTGTTACAGTATGTCTCGCTTAGCATCTTGTTGTCATTTGTATGTCTCCGGTTCTCAATGATTTCCTTCAAGGAATTTGCTGCTGTGCTACCTGCAATTAACAAATTTTCAAGTGTTAAAATCAGATTACTAAAAAAATTATTACAGGACAACACATTTCACATAGCAAAAAACACATCACATACCTTCAGGAAGCCATGCCCTTCTTATATCCGGATGCAAGCACCTGGGAAATAAATCGCCATGTCCTGTGTGGATGTTGAGTATATGAGGACTGACCGGCAACCACTTGGACAACATCATGTCCCCATTCCCTGTGTCATTCGATGTTGCACTCCAATATAAATGCTTCACAATGCTTGGTATCCATTGCTTCAGATCTGAGCAGGATCGCTGGGCTACAGCTTTCAACAATTTCTTCTTTATTGCTAAAATTGAAAGAAATTAGCAAATCAACCGTCTGTTATACTAGTTTGTACATGAAGTCAAACTTGCCTAAGCAGAATCTAAAATGGCATTGAATAATTATTTGACTTGGATAAAATTCTACTTTACAAATTATTATTCAATTAGTATTCATCATCCACTATGCATTATAAACGAAATTTTATGAATGGTTGATGAAATAGCCTTGGTCACCAGCAGAAACGGTAAATTACGCATCTGGGGCGAGGCCTAGACCTAGCTAGCCTTGTACTAGCTAGGCCTAGACCCAGGCCGAATAGAGGTCCGAAAGGCTCAAGGAAGCATACTACAGTATTGCCTATTGGACCGACACCCATTCTGTAGTGCTTGGCTAGCCTAGGCCCCAGGCTAGGCCTAGTTGTTAGACAGCAAGAAGCGCCTTAGAATTCAGCGATACATGCCTAGGCATATGGGGCCTAGTAGTAGTAGTAGCAGTAGTAGTAGCATTATGTCTGGGTATGATGTCAATATTAGTTTAAAAACTTAAATAAAATAGGCCTATGGGGCCTAGGGTCTAGACCGGGCTTTCCAGACACACAAAAAATAACATGAGATGACGACCGTCACGACAACTCAAGTTACTTACCCTTGCTCAATCTCTCTTTTCGAATGCTCCTGATTTCCTCTCCTTTGCAGGTTTTTGTGTAAAAATTCCAGGTCGGGCTTGCTTTGGGAAAATTGATGGAATTATCCCCTTCTTTTAGGGTTCTGTAATGTTTCCCAGTAACACCCAACCCCACGGAAAGGTCTGACGGAGAGAAATTCTTCCTAGTTTGGGAAACCGCAGCGGTCCAACGTTTTCAAATTTCATCATTTTTTGGAAAGTGTGCAGACTTACAGGATCAAAGTGATTGTTGCTGCTCTTTGCAGCAACACAAGGCATTATTGCCACACTTAAAACATTAAAAAAATGTTGAGGCTTTGTTGTGTTGTGACTTGGCGGTGGCGCGATGAATGAAAACAATCGTTAGGTGGTCAAGCGTGAAAGGAGAGCTATCGTTTTGTGTTACTCAAATGACGTCACATAATTGCAACACGAAAGGAGGCTGCCAAGGGGCAGGTCTTAGCAGCTATTTTTTAGTACTATTGGTGAACTTAAAATCGTGTTATTAAAATAATAACGCATTCTAAAGAGAAAACTTGTTGTCAGGTTTATTCTATGTCTCCACCAATTTCTTTTTTAAATTGTACATTCTCATTTCATTGGATCTTTAAGCTGTTCTGACACGCGACGCCCGTGCTGACGACTGTACATGTCAAAATGGCTTCTGATGGGGACCTGCACCCACACATGCACTGCCGCTGGTGGAACTGCCATATTTCTAGTTTACTGTACTTACCGAAGCTTATGTAGGAAACATTTAAGCCTGTTTCTCCAAGAGGACGGTATGTCATCTGCTGAACTGCCTCCTTGTTATGGAATCCATCTACATATGTGGATGGTAAACTGTTGAACAAAATAAATTTAAATAATGATATTTAGATTCACATAAAGTATTTCTAAACCTCTGTCCAGATTACCTAAATTTCTTTGACATCATCATACTATAAATTTAAGGACTAAAAATACCAACGTTGCAGCAGATCAGATAGGTGACATAAAGGTACTATTTTAGTACGGTACTACAAATACAACAATTCTGCTCTCAAATAAGTGATGCAATGACCACCAAAAACTTTAGGCAGTCTATTGTTACATGGTTGATTAATTTGTTATATTATTTGGATAGGACAAACTGCAGTATCAAATTAGTATAAGTGGACAAAAAATCGTGAGTTGTTAGGTTTTTTTGAACGATGTGTTCACGTCATGCACAGAAAACATTTAGAGAGGTCATTCATGCTCGTTGCTGATTGGTCTAACAAAAAAATGTACGATTTTATGATACAAATGGCTCTCAGCTTCATCTCTCCAAATCCGGAGTCCAGATATTGGAGATCGTACGAATTTAATGTGAACGGTTCTATTCTTTCCACTTCACCCATTTTATAAAATTTTCTGTCCGGGCACCAGACCAGATCCAGGCTTTGGTGTTAACGTAGCTTTAAGCTGCGGGCACACACTGTCCTACGGCAGTCGACCAACAAATCCAACTCCGCTCCCTGTAAAGGTGACACAACGCTGTCTGCTGATTGTCGATGGCCGCCTTGAATGGATTGTCATTAATCAAAACCAATCCCTTAGTCTTGGTGTTACGTTCTCCATAGAATCTGGTTGCTGGCCGATGATTGCTGGGTGTTGATACTATACAATAGATCACTCTATGTTGGTTGACAGGCTGTGTAATTTGTCCTACCTTCAAGACAGACGCAGTAAAATCAAAATTATTAATGAATTTTCTGATTGTAGTGATCTTGAATTTTGCGTATCTCAAGAATTTGGTGTACCTCAAGGATTCTGTGTTGGACACAAATTGTTCTCATTTTCCACTAAGCCTATTGGTGATACTATTAGTAGACACAGTGTCAAATACCATGTATATGCTGACGACACCCAGCTGTATTTAAGTTTTAATCCTAGGAGCCCACACAAGCAAGAGATCTGTTTGCAAGTTAAAGAATGTATGACACAAAACATATGCTGTGCTATATACACCAAAAACAAATTTAACATCTGTCCCCAAAAGCTTTTATGCATTTTCACCTTTCTTTGGAACCAACTTCTTCCCACTGTCATTCGTTATGATCCAACTCTTTCTAAATTCAAATTTCTTCTTAAAACACACCTTTTTACATAGTTCATACTTTTAAGCGCTGTAAGTGTGAGACTGTGGTAAAGAGTGTTTGTAATAAATACACTTACCAATCTGCGTTCTACAAGAGGTACGGACCGTTAGGGAATAAGTGAAAATGATGGGGTAGGGGCGTACTCATCTCAAAGTCTGTATCTAAATAGGCTACAGTACTCAAAGACGATCTATACTGACAGTGTCCCGACGGCCATTGAGATCCGAAATGAAATGCTTGTCGCCGCGCTTCAAAACTGGAAATGGACCACGATAAGGGGGCTGCAGTGGTGTACGTACCTGGTCAACAACACGGACAAAAACATGGGAGCAAGAAGACAAATCCTTATGCAACTGCGAGGGCTGCAGGTGGACCCTTGTGGGAGTACATGCCACATGCTGGAAAATCTGATTAACTCTGTCAGCATAGTCGGCAGGATTTAAGTCACCTGAATGTGGAGAAGGCGAAACAAACCCTGCAAAGCTAACGAACCACCATACACAAGCTCTGCTGGCGAGCAACCTAAATCTTTCTTAATAATAGTACGAAGACCAAGCATAACCAAAGGTAGGTCCACATACTGCGTCTTGGGCCTTTAATGACACCTTCAACTAATGGTGGGTCCGCTCCACTAATCTGTTTGCTATGGGGTGATAAGCGTTGGTGCGTATGCGCCGAGTTCCTAACAAACCAACTAAAGAATTAAATAAGGCAGATTCGAACTGCCTACCTCAATCGGTAGTGGGTGTTGATGGAACCCAAACCGTGAAACCCAAGTGGAAACAAAGGCTTTAGCAACCGTCTCGGCTGTAATGTTGGCGATGCATGTTAGAAGGTATGTAAATCCCTCAGAAGAGGGAAGGGGTCCGACGAGATCAATATGGACATGTTCAAACGTCTGGGGAACTGAATGTACCTAAAGGGGTTATGGAATGTCGATGCACCTTACACCTCTGGCACTGCAAACATGATTTCTCCCACTGACGGACATCCTTGTTCATACCAGGTCACACGAAACTGTTACTAACTAATTTCAAGGTAGCCCGAACACCAGGATGGGACAATGAATGTAATACATTAAAAACCGTGCGACGCATACTCTTAGGGACAAAAGGGCAAGGGTGTCCTGTAGTCATGTCACACACAATAGTACTCTCTCCTGTAGGTGTTGGAACACAGGATTAACACTTTGCTCCTGCAATTCTCCATCCATCTGCTGTGCATTGGCCATCACTGCATAATCAATAGTAGAGCATGATAATGCGTGATAATTGCCAAAAACATGAAATAGGTAACTTTCCTCCAAAATGCCAGTCGAAGTCGTCGCATCTATTTGCTGGCCTTGGCGTTTCCTGAAGGTTTGAATGAGCAGGGGGAACGGCAGCTGCGCGCAGCCTCGCTAAAGCGAGCATGATACCAACAAAGGATATGCACCAGGCATGGGGATGGAGTATGTGATTGTCGTTGCCGACTATTGCTCCTACTCCGAACCTGGTGGGTAAGTGAGGCTACAAGAGAAGTTAGTTTACTCACTTCATCGCGCAGTTGCTGAATTTCATAGGGGCCTTCAACAGGGTATACCACAGGAACTAGGGCGAGGGGCCGAAACTAGTGCAACCGTGGGAGGGGGAGACGAAGCTACAGTACGTCCAAAACCTTACCGGTTAAACCACCATCTGAGACGGGTGACAATGTCGCAATAGTCGTAGGCGGTGGAGCGACCTCCAAAATTCTGTCCGCCAACGCTGCTAAGTCATTAATCGCCATGTCATCTCTCGTGGAGGCTAGTATTAGTTGAACACTGGTTGGCAATCATTGCACAAACAGTTGCTTCAAAATAGAAGGCTCCAATTCACACTCCCCCATCAACTATTATGGCATCTTGCCTAATAACTGACTCGGCTTACGGTCAGTGGCGGCTCTAGGATATAATTTATGAGGGGGGGGGGCGCGCTAAGATGTCCGACTGGGGGGCATAAGTATTATGGGTGTAACTATAGTACGAAGTGCTATCTGAGGGCCGAAGGCCCGAGCTGGGAGTGGGGTGTCCCCTTCTCCCAAAACAGGATTTTAAAAAAAATTAGGACTTCTAGATAGTCGGAAATGGTTGGGATGCAAAAACTAGGCCTCTTTTTTTGTTGTTGGTCGAACTGCCTGACGAGCTTTGGCCGATGGAGTGGTTGACCAAACCAATGGGGGGCTTAAGCACCCGCCGCCACTGCATACAGTCCCCCAGTTCCTGGTGGTTAACAGTTGGTATATAGTGGGGGCTAAATAGGCCCTAGGCTACACATAATTAATTTTTGTGTTTTACAAAATTGAAATTCATTTTTTTATACTGCCACCCCAGACCAGGGAGCTGTTATAAAAAAGTATGAATGTAGGCGTACGCTATTCCTAGCTGCGTACATGTATGTTGTTCACTCCTAGCTACCCTGCTGCATAGACTGGCATCTACCAAGCCTGTGGGCCTTTCTCTGGGCCTAGAGATAGGCCTAGGCTAGATTTGCATCGCGGTTTGCTTAGTTCAAGACTTGTTTATTTTCCCCCGCGACAAGGGACGCTTTTGCGCATGAGCTACGATTGTCGTAAATAGCATTGGGAGCCATAGCGTTATTATAATATTGGTTCCTGCGGATTAAGACGTGTAGCATAGCAATTGCCAAAATTGTATTTGCTGGCACTTATTTATTGGAACATTTACAACAGCCAGGCCAGTAAACGGTGAAGTCTGCCACCTCACAGTAGACATCAACGTTCAGGGAATGACGTCCGGTTCGGCCGCGCACCAGTTAGTTGCTTATAGATTTTAGCAAGTTAAAAATGTACTGCTATTCGGGCAGATGGATGGACGAACATAAAAAAAATAGTATACCAATCATGTAGGTGGGCCCATCTTCAGGTGTTGTGGATTTAGTAAATAAATGTGTGTATGCATTTCTTTTTACTGTTAATATCCCATCTATAAACTAAATAACTATATTTACAATGTGTGTACTGTTATATATGCTTTATGGAGTAATAATTTAGAATAAGAGACAAGATTCAGTATATATTTTCAGTTCATATTTTATAATATTGCATAAACGTTTATACGGAAGCACCTAAGTGCCATTCGACTTGACAAGATAATTTATGTTGTCAATCATGGCGACATACAACTTTTACTATGTCGACTTGCCAAGATAATCTATCTCGCCGTGACAACATACAATTTTTACTATGTCGACTTGTCAAGATTTGTATTATGTCGACTTGTCAAGATAATCTATTTCGCCATGACAACATACAATTTTTACTATGTCGACTTGTCAAGATAATCTATCTTGCCATGACAACATACAACTTATATTATGTCGACTTGTCAAGATAATGTATCTCGCCATGACAACATACAATTTTTATTATGTCGACTTGTCAAGATACTTATTACTTATACTTACTTATTAGAGGCACCAGTATCTGTTTAGGGGTATAGATGGATTATTCCCTCATTTTACATTTAGAAGATTCGGGATGAATTTCCGTCTCCAACAGATACATATTATAGATTTGATCTTGATGTACAATTAAGCTATTTTATAATGGTGTAACATTGATATTATTTAATAACCCAGTATTGTGTGTGCACATATCTCATGAAATCTACTTCTTCTAGTCATGTATCAGTTGTGCGCATTTGCAATTGCCATAGCTAATTTAAATTGAGGTGCATATTATATAATATATGCATTTTAAATGTCCAGGCTGCAATAGTGATTATATTGGTAAGACAGATAGGTGCTTAATAACTAGACTTAAAGAACATTCTTCACGATCTGATAGTGTTATATTTGATCATGTTAAAAACTGTGAGGCAGATGTGTATAAGTGCATATAAGCTTGCTAATATGGATAATTTTTTCTTTCCTGATGATGACATAATTAATGTCGAAATATTGAATCCCAACACGATGGCGTGTATTTCAATACTTGGAGTATGTATTATACTTTCTTATATTATATAATATTGTTAATAACCAATAGTAATAGTTTTATAACAGTTTGGTTCAAGTTTTGTTCAGAGTTGGACACAATTGCCAGTTCGTCTGTTGCTACTGAATAAATCATCAACCAATCAGTAATATTTTGTTTACATTACATTGTTGATGTCCTTTTGTATTATACTGTACATTCTTTGTTGACGGAGGTGCTGTAGTGTGTGTTGTATAGACCTAGCCTACTTTTCTCATATTGACATTTCATCTTTGAACATTGCACTTCTGAATTTGGAGCAGCATTATCTACTGTATTTCTGATACCTGGACGAACCTGATGTTAAACTATACAAATCAAGGCTGAGGTAGCAGTTGGAAGCTGATTACATACAGTATTCAGCCTCATTGTTGTTTTACCAGTCAGAACCATTTCTACATTCATCATTATAATCCACTGTTAAAAGAGTACTTTTTTGTTTAGCAAATTATTTAACTCTTCTTCAGACAAGCAAAACTCGGGGACTGATATTCTAACACTATTTTTCAAAATCGGAATTTATTTCCCCATAAACATATGCAGCACATGCCAGCTATACAGTATACAACAAAAACAAGTCATTTTAGGCCTTGTTTACAGTCATTGTTCTGAAAATCTGCACTCAAAATTTACCAAATCCTGCATAGGTGGTGGGTGTACCTTTGCAATGGTTTGTTGAACTCATCGGAGATCATTTGCTTTCATTTCATTTTTCCTGTAGATGATATCGCTATCAATAATAATCACAACCTGTATCTCTCTAATCAACATTTGGCTATTAACACTTCTACAGACCAGTTATCTGAGTTTTTGTTGAAGCGCTTGTGTACCTGATGAAGAAAAACAATTCATATTCATGACTTATTGCATGTAATACAGAAATTTGGTAAACTAATGTTTAATTTATCCACCATTATATTTTGTTCATCTTTTGTCAATTAGGTGGGAGGTATTGATCTGAAAAAAAAAAACATAGAACTATAAATTGAAAGAATCAGGTTTTATTTCTGTTGATATTTCATTAACAAGGGAAAATTATACGGGGTAGTACTCAACCATAAAATAGTGATGCTTACATAGGGTTGTCCTCTGCATTACTTCGTTGGGCTCTTCCTTAGTTCATCTGCAAGTCCAAGGCTGTAAGATGATTTCATGCTTGAAAAGGTGTATAGCTAATAAAAACAAATGATCAATCCAATTTATTCTATATATGGTTTGCAAATGAATGAAAAGAATGCATTATATCTGGGAACAGTGAAATTTCACTGTTCCCTGATTATCTGATCTATGCACTGTTGATCGATAGTTACATTTCATAAAAATTTCATACAATTGTTTGTTTTACCACAGATTGTTGTGGAACATAACATGAAATAATTCTGATATAGTATTACAATCGCTGAAAACTTTGTCATTTACATGCATAAACATTATCACATTATGGTAACACACAAAAATACCAGTATGTCTGAAAAAGTTGTATGCATTACAGTTAAATAGGATTTTAAGGATTTGATCTTGATGTGCAATAAAGCTATAATGGTGTAACATTGATATTATTTAATAAACCAGTATTGTGTGTGCACATATCTCATGAAATCTACTTCTTCTAATCATGTATCAGTTGTGCGCATTTGCAATTGCCATAGCTAATTTAAAGTGAGATGCATATTATATAATATTGTTAATATCACATTATGGTAACACACAAAAATACCAGTGTGTCTGAAAAAGTTGTATGCATTACAGTTAAATAGGTGTTACTAGATACAGCATCAATATTTTTCCTCTAAGCTTACACTAAACTTTTAATTTTTTACATGACAGAACAAGTCATCTATGAATTATGTTTAGATTTCTTTACCTAAAATGTATGTACAGTATCTCTATCTCGGAATGTTCTTGAAAAAATTATAACTGAGTAATATCCGGTCACATGCTTTTGCTGCTCGTAAACCGCTGGTAAAGGCCTGTCTGGATTTGCATCTTCATTGTCTATGATTGATCTTGCATCATCAGAGCCATACTGTCTCCTTATAAAATATTAAAAGGCAAAACATTGAAAAACAATAATGCTGTGGGAAGCAATGACTGAATCTTGGTAGGGATACATGTTTCATAAGCAACAGCTAAACATGCAATTGCAACTAAACATCAGAAATAAAAATGTACCAACAGTTTTACTTGACGTCACATTTTATATGACAGCAATTTTAATAAGCAAAACATATGTAATTACGTTAAAATGAGGCCTGCCTTGATATGGCTAAGTCCTATCACCGTGCAGAAATTAGAGTAGGGGACTAGCCTTGGCCTAGAGATATGTATGCGCATATTTCAGAAAATTGAAATGTTTTAGCCTTCTTTCGAATAGGCTAGTCTTGTTGATGCTTCACATACGGAATGCTAGGCCTAAGCTTATAATGTATGATGTAGATATGCGCTTGGTTCGCTTAGCAATCATCCCAGTCCCTTTTTATATAGGCCTAGGCTAGGGCCTATCCCGCCCTACCAAGCTAGGCCAGAACGAGAAGACCTACCAGAAATCCATAACTATCAGCCAGCATGGAATCGTCGCCTTCCTTTCTTTCTGGTGGTAGTGGTATGCCTTCGGATACCATCAGTTATCTCGTTGTTGACTTTTTCTTCTTTTCCTAACAGAATCCGTAAAGAGTCAATCGAGGATGACCTCGCTTCGAGCTAGCATTTGCCTTGCTCCATCTTGCAACTGATACGGCTAGGCCATACCCCATGTGTTTATAAACGTCGCGTGTAAAGCATGGGGATTTCCGTATTTCCTCATACAAACAGAGGCGCATATCCAGATCAACAGAAATTATCAATCCGCGAGTGATGCATGATGGGATTTATAGCGGGCCGCTAAAATTAATAAAATCAAGTTAATTTGTCTCTTTTTACCTGTTTATAGGCTAATGCGCTGAATCGCAGTACCAAATATATGTTTTGGGTATAGTAAAGTACCCAACAACGGTAGAAATATGGAAATTAACTCGTTGAAAATTTGCAGACACAGTGTCTTTAATAGCAAATGATGAATACGACTTAGAAAATATGCTTTATATTGCGGGACAGTTTTCAAAGAAATGGAAACTGAATTTATCTATGATAAATCCAATGTAGTTGTTGGTAAACTAATAATAAAATGAAGCATTCGAAGCTGAGTAATCACTACATCACAGAGGCTGAAAGTTATATAAATACCTAGGCATTAACATTTCAAAAAATCAATCAGAATGTACTCATGTAAGTGATGTTGTACGAAAGGGAAATAGGCTAACTGGATATCAAATCCATATAAACGGCCAAGACAATTTTAATAGGGTATATTATGGAAACATACTATGGAAAACTATTGCTTTACCAATCAATTATGCATGTGTGGTCTCTGCATATAGTGATAGTGATTATAAAAAGTTAGAAAATATCCAGCTGCAAATGGCAAAGTCGAAATACTCCAAGCACCAAGAAACACACCATCACTTGCTGTACTAGGGGATCTGGGCTGGGATACAATTAAAAATATCCATAATGAAAGAAAAAGTAAATATTTTGGCAGGTTAATCAACCTAGAGTCACATCGCTGGCCTAGACTACTACTAAATGCACTTTTTTTCCATGCATGATAATGATATTAAAATAAGATGGAGATGGTTAAGTTCTGTTGAAATCATTTTAAATAAATCTGGATTTGACCATGTTTTTTCATTTAGTATCCCTTGTGATACAATGTAGTTTACCTCATTCAAATATATGCATCGTAAAATATATAATAATGAATGGTTGAATAATGTTTGTATCAAATCATAGCAAATATAAGAGGTACCTACTGTAAACTAGAAGATTATCTCCTAGTTAAAACAGATTTCTATGGTGCTCAGCACAAATTCAAGGCCCAGCGGTCTAATACACTTGAGCTAGAAAGTAAAGTAAGCAAGTGGAATGAATTCGATCCAACTCGGCCACAAGTCAACTCGGCCACAAGTTAACTCGATCGGCCACAAGTCAACTCGGCCACAAAAAGTTGGGCTACAGTCAACTCGGCCACAAGTCAACTCGGCCACAAGTCATCTCGGCCACAAATCAACTCGGCCACAAGTCAACTCGGCCACAAGTCAACTCGGCCACAAATCATTTACTGGTACTACATTGTACTAATTGTTGTCATTGTTGTTATTATTATTGTTGTTTTTATTACCATTAGTTTTAATATTAATTATTAGTCTTAGCATTAACATTATATATTGTTGAAATTTTTGCTGATATTATTATTATTAGAGTACCATATAAATAATAAATCATATTTTCGATTTTTTATTATTATTATTCATATTATTATTATTTATTATTCTTAGTATTATAATTTTAATAATAGTAATTTAAACAGTTGTTGTTATTGGCGTTTTATTAGTATTTTTCTCATATTATTATTATATTATTAATATTATTGTTGTTGTTGTCACCTTTATTATCGATATTATTGCCCTATTATTACTAAGTAGGCCTAGTATTATAAGTATCATTATTATTACTAATTAGTATTACTATTATTATAAAAATAAACATTTTCTTTAATTTATTATTGTTGTATTATTGCTATTATCACCTTCAATATCGTTATCACTAATTAGTTATTAAAATTGATATTTAAATATTGTTATTATTACCATACTAGTATTATTACTATTTGTTAAAATAAATATTACTATTAATGTTCTTGTTGTTATTATCACATTTATTATCGTCATAATGACTAATTAGTATTATTAATGTACATATTACTAATTTATAGTCGTTATTGTTGTTTAATATTATTGTTGAAGTAGAATGTTATGAGTAAACAGAAGACGAACACATTAATAAATAACTCTTTTTAATTCATAGGCAATAGCATTCAAATCTCTTTTGGTAGTGTGGTAGTCCTGTTTTACTAAAACATACTGTGTACTTTATTTCAATCATATATTGAAGAAAAAGGATGCAAAAACTTAGATTTACATTAAATGATTTGTGGCCGAGTTGACTTGTGGCCGAGTTGACTTGTGGCCGAGTTGGCTGTAGCCGAACTTTTTGTGGCCGAGTTGATTTGTGGCCGAGTTGACTTGTGGCCGAGTTGACTGTGGCCGAGTTGACCTGCACTCAGTGGAATAAGACTAATACTGGTAATTGTCTTCTATATGATGATATCATCAGACATTTTCTACTAACTTGTAATAAACTTAAAAGAAATCCGATCAATGGAACTTAATAACCTCAAAAATAATCTTTGTAATTCAGGCTTATTTCATTTATGGAATATATTTCAGTCAAATGATAATGATGATATTTTATTTCTTATGTTAAGTGGACATTTTACCAAGTTCATACATACCTATGTTGTCAAGCTATTTAGCAGATTCCACCCATAAAATTACTGACGATTTTTTGTAAGTCATATCTTAAAAAGGCATGGGCAACAAGATCAAGTGTTAAGTCTAACTTGGCATGTTAAATGACCAATTAAGTTTACAGTTTTGTTGTTTGTTGTATTTGTTTATTCTGAATATACCAATTAATTATGTTCGTTACTCATAAGCTTATAAGTCACTTGTTAATGGCTACACCCCTACAGTTTTCTCTTTGGTCAAATATCTACTTTTTTTATGTATTATTCACCTAAATCATATAATGTAATATATATTTAATTTTTTTATTTTTGTTTTGGTATTTCCTTTCCTTTACATTGTACTAAGTCTAGGCCTGTGCCTTGTGAGTGATTGAGATGTTGTTTACATCGACGTTCTGCAAACTATGGTCCATGGCCTGGAAATTGGGCCACGAAACATTTTTGGCATTATGTCATCATCAGGAATGATAACATAATGTTGAAATATTGAATCCCAACACGATGGCATGCATTTCGATACTTGGAGTATGTATTATACTATCTAATACCTGTATAGATTATTAGTGTAGGCCTAGTCTTTCAAAGTTGCAGAGTAACAGAGTGTGCGTAAAAGTTTTTGGAAGAAGGAGAAACCTATAACGTGTGTGGCTGAACCATGTTTGGTTGAATCATAGAGAAAATAGAACAGATTCTATTTTCTCTATGGTTGACTCATGGTAGAAAAAAAAACAATCAACAATTGTAGGTGGGGGAGGGTGGTGGGGAAACTCAAATGTATTTATTTAATAAAACTAGAAATTGCAAATTGCAAGTGAAGTGCTGCGAAGTATAACTGCATAAAATGTTCTTCCAACAAAATTATTTATGCGAGTCAAGTGAAAATAATGAATAATAAAAATATAACAAATAATATGAGCACGACCCATTGTCTATATTAGAACAGCGTTGGTGCCGTGTACAATAGTGTTTTGCTGCAGTGACATCTCTCTGCTGGCGACTCGCTGCTGCTGCTGGCGATGACTCGCTGCTGGCGAATCGATCTGCGCATGTGTATAAAATATAAAATTATTTCCGAAAACACTATGCCAGTCTACAACAAGCGTCGCCTAAATGTAAAAATTAGCACGTTGAAATAGGCTAGTAAATAAGTTTAACTGGGTTCGTAAATAATATTGGCCTCAAAATATTGTGGCTGAGACATGAGCCGATTAAAGCCCCATTCCCGGCAAAATTTCACAAAAAAATGACTTTTTTTAGAAAATATTCATTTGCATTACTCCAATTATTATAAATCATGGAAAAATATTGGCATGAATTTTAGTTTACCCAAAAGAATAAAAAAAATGAGAAATACAGACTATTTCTCATAAAATATTACCATTTTCTGGACGAATTCATCGTTACTAGGCAAATTCAGAGGTTGTAGATCGCATCCACTGGAATACTCTCGCTTTTATGTATACTTTTATACAGTCAATAAAGTGCGCCCTCTCTAATGAGATTATTTTTTTACTTCGTATCTCGCACAATGCGCTCGTTCGATTAAGGCTGAGATATGTTTGTTTAAGTGTCAAAATCTCAGTCAGAAACAAATTTGAAATAATTCCTATGAAATATTATATTTCACAAGTGTCAATACTAGCAACGGAAAATATCATGTCGGCCGTTTTTATGTGTGATAACAGAACCTAAAATCGAGGTA